AGTGCTAGGCTCTCACCAAAAGGGTCACGGCCAACAAGCAAGGAACAATGCCACCACCATAAACCCCATTACCCTGGTGGCCTTCAGTAAGTTTACTTCTAGGGTGACTTGAAGTTTTCTTGCTCTAAGTGCTCCTTAAAACCCAAAGACCTGTTCCAAGTGGGTGTGACACACTGACCCAGATTTCAAGTCCCCAGGCAGGATCAGGGCCACAAACCCATCAGCTTCGATAGGGAAAGGAAGCTGGAAAGAGGCCAAGTCCACAAGGAGAGGGATAAGAGAGGGGTCAGTGCCTTCCCAAGCCCTGCTCCTGAGAAAGTAGAGCCTTAAAAATAGTTTTGATTATCACAGGTCTTAAGAGGGCTTTGACACAGTCACTTCACTGAATGTGAGGAATGAGCAAAAGAAGGGCACCACTCGGGCAAACACATCAGCATCCGAGCCATTTAATTGATTGAGTGGAATCCTAATTAAGTACAGTTCAAAGTGAATCAGCACAGATTTGCTTCAAATAATATTGGAAATCTGAAGTTGATTTTGAGAAGTTAAGATGTATTTGATAAGACCTAGAATAACCACAAAGAAAACACTTCCAAAAATATAGTGAAAACAATCATTAAAGGAATCAAAATATCACACTACAAAATATTCACTTAATGCAAAAGAAAGCAGTGAAGAAGGAATAAACAAAAAAGATGAGACAGAAAACAAAAAGGAAATGGCAGAAATAAATCCAACTATATCAATAATGACATTAAATGTTAATGGATTAAACAATCCAATCAAAAGACATAGACTGTTAGACTAGACTTAAAAAAAAAGATTCAACTATATGCTGTCTATAGGAGACACTCTTTAGATTCAAAGATATAAACAGGTTGAAAATAAAAGAATAGAAAAATGCAAACAGCAACCATAAGAAGCTGGAGTGGCTACACTAATATCAGACAAAACAGACTTTAAAACAAAAATGTGGGCCGGCCCAGTGGCGCACTGGATTGTGGGCTGGCCCAGTGGCGCACTGGATAGTGCGCCGCTTAGGAGGCGCGGCAGCGCTGCCGCCCGAGGGTTCGGATCCCACATACAGACCGGCTCCCGCTCACTGGCTGAGCGAGGCGTGGGAGCAACACCGAGGTTTGCAATCCCGTTGCCGGTCCCTGGTCCGGTACGGGGGCGACACTGAGGGTTGCGATCCGTTGCCGGACACGGAAAAAACAGACAAAAGACCAAAAAAAAAACAAAAAACAAAAATGTTAATAGAGACAAATAGAGACATTTTATAATGATTAAAGGGTCCATTTAACAGAAAGTCATAGCAAGTGTAAACATATATACACCTAATAACAGAAGCAAGACAGACAGAAATGAGAAATAAGACAATTCAACAATAATAGCTGGAGACATTAATAAATTACTTTCAAAAAAGGATAAAACAACTACGTAGAAGACCAACAAATAAATAGAAGACTTGAACAATGCTATAAACCTACAGACCTCTATAGAACACTCCACTCAATGACAGCAAAATAGGGCTGGCCGGTTAGCTCAGTTGGTTAGAGTGTGGTGTTATAACACCAAGTTCAAGGGTTCAGATCCCCTCACTGGCCAGCCACCAAACACACACACACACACACACACACACACACACACACACACACACACACACACACACAGTCAGCAGCAAAATATACTTTCTTCTCAATACATATGAAGCATTCTCAAGGATAAACCAGATGTTAGGCCATAAAATGAGCCTCATTAAATTAAAAAATTCAAATCATACAAAGTAGGTTGTCCAACCACAATGAAAATTGGAAATCAAAAACAGAAAGAAATGTGGGAATTCACAAACATGTGGGAATTAAACAATGTACTCCTAAATAAACAATGGGCCAGAAAAGTAGTCACAAGAGAAATTAGAAAATAGTTTGAGGTGAATGGAAGTGAAGACACAATAGAGCGAGCCTACAGGATACAGCCAAAGCAGTATTTAAAGGGAAATTTATAGCTGCCTATATTTTAAAAAGAAAGATCTCAAATTACTAATCTAAAAGTCTACCTTAAGACACTGGAAAAAGAAGAGCACTGAACCCAAATCAGATAGAAGGAAGATAATAAAGATTAGAGCAGAAATTAACAAAACAGAAAATCGAGGTCAACAAAACCAAAAGTTAGTTTTTCAAAAAGATCAACAAAATTGACAAACCTTTAGGTAAATCAATCAAGAAAAAAAAGAAGACTCAAATTGCTAAAATCAGAAATGAAAGGTGGGCCATTCCTACTACTACCCACCTTATAGAAATAAAAACTATAAATAATATTTGTGTGGACTATTACTGAGCAATAAAAGGGAATGAACTATTGATACATGCAAAAACTTGAATGGATCCTAAGTGAAAAAAAGCCAATCCCAAAGGTTACATGCTGTGTGATTCCATTTACATAACATTCTCAAAAGGGCAAGACATAAAATGGACAGTAGACCAGTGGCTGCCGGGGGCTGGGGTGACTAGAAAGGGAAATCGTGAGAGAGTTCCTTTGTGCTGACAGAACAGTTCTGGATCTCAACTGTGAAGGTGCTTACACCAATCTGAGCAGCTGATAAAATGTAACAAAGACATAAAACATGAGAGCATTAAAGGGTTGAGATGTGAGTAAGGTCTGTAGTACCATGGTTAAGTAAATGTACCACTGGGGGAAGCTGTGTGAATAGTGGGACTTCTCTGTGTTATTTTTTGCAACAAAGTGTCTACAATTGTTTAAATGAAAAGTTTACAGAGCTGGCTGGTTAGCTTAGTTGTTTAGAACCCAGAGTTACAACACCAAGGTCGAGTTCAGATCCCTATTCCAGCCAGCTGCCAAAAGAAAAAAACAGACTATAAATAATTACTATGTTAGGGGCTGGCAGGTTAGCTCAGTTGCTTAGAGTGCAGCCTTGTAACACCAAGGAAGGGTTCAGATCCCCGTACTGGCAGCTGCCATTAAAAAAAAAAAAAAAAAGTTTACAAAAATAATATGGTGGATATTTCACCATGGGTGGGAGTACGGAAGCATTGACGGTTTGGGGGCTGGGTGATAGATATGTGGGGGTTCCTTATCCTATTTTGTCTACCTTTGTGTGTGTTCAAATTCTCCATAATAAACTTTAAAAAAAATAATAAAAGGAACCAACACAAGAATGGCACCAACGAGGACCTTTTCTATTTGGATTTATAAATATCCTTTAAAATGTCCCATCATCGGGATTACAGGCCACCTTGTCTGCTGTCCTCCCCAAAACAATGGCCAGAGAGATGACCAGAACTGGCTCAGTGTTTTTGCAACACAGACATCCCAAAAGAGACACTGCACAGTCCAAAGGCCATCTCTAATAACGACAGTGTTAGAAACAGCATTGGAGATTCGCCTGATGTGTGCGACCGCAGGGTTGCAGGATCCCAGATTTCTGCACAGTGACCCCATTCCTCCTTGTCACTTGCCTCCAGACCCAGGCCATGCATCCTGCCAAACTGACCCAGCCCCAAGCCCTCATCCCAGGGTGGAAACCTGAACCACTTGAGGCAGGGAGTTTTAGCAAATCCTTATGAGCCCTGGATTCTACATGAATTTCCCACTTTCAAAATCCCTNGTGTGTGTGTGTGTGTGCAGGTCCCGTACTCTGGCCCCAGTACAGGGCCGAGCGCCTTGCAGAACCGGCGAGTTTCCGGGATCAGAATCGGGCTCGTGCAATTGGGGCTTCGGGGCGCGGAGCCCGGCTTGGCGCCCAAATCAGAGAAAGAAAAAGTCTCCAACGGGACAGATGCGCGTCCTCTGACGCCCACCCCGCGAGTCCGAAACCGGGCAGGAGGGGCATGCGCGCTGTTGGTCGTCCCAGGCGCGCGGGGCTTGGGGCGGGGAGTGGGCCGTGCTGAGACCGGATCGCCGCCTCCAGAACCCTGTTGCCCGCCCGCACCCGCTGACCTGAACGGGTCCACCGGGCACACACTCGCAAACACACACCCCCAGCCGCCGCAGCGCGTTTTTGTGCTCCTGCGGCCCCCACCCCCGACTGCAGAAAGATAAGCTTCAAGTTTTCACTCCGTGTCTCAAATGTGCATGAAGGAATTTAACTGCACGAGTGAATAACAGCATTAGTTTCAATTAATTTTTTTTTAATCCCGGCAACAATAAACTTTGAGAACAAAAGCGCTTTTACGTCCTTAATTAGGCGAGCTTCCCATCTGTGGTCTCGAAGTGTCTGCCTCTTGATTTAACTTTGTCCCCGCCCCGCCCCCGCCGCACACCCCTCCCCGCCCCGCCAGGCTCTCCTGGTGCCGCGACCACTCAGCCCCGCGGCGCCTACAGCCTCGGCCCAGCCGGCTCCCACCGCCCCGAAGTTCACGCCGGCCCGCGGGCTTGACGGCGGGGACTGGCGCGCACCAGGTGGCCTCCGTCCGGGTCCAACCCCTGGACAATTCTGCAGGCCCCTGGCAGTCTCGCTCCGGGCCGGCGCCCAGGGCGCAGAGCTGAAGGGAGCTCACGAGGCGCCTTCTGTTTACCTTTTATGGTTAAAATAACAGCTTAGCAAAGAAGCGACTTGAGAAGAAGCGATTTAGTGAAATCGTCTCAAGCTGCCGCAGCTCAGCCAGTTTAATCACCCCCAGAGAGCTGAACAACTGCGAGCACAATGGGACACAAAATCATTTTGTGTGTAAATGAGCGTGGCATTCTGCTCACTTCCCTCTGCTCCGGCGGGCGGGGCTCGGCGGCGGGTGGGCGCGGGACCCGGGTCTCCCGCCGCAGCTTCAAAAAGCGGGTCAATTTCGGGCCAGTTTGGAAACCCGCCGGCCTTTCCGCACAGTGCCGCTGAGGCCCCTGCAACAGGCGGTTTGGCCAAGCCTCAAGAGGGCCGGGGCAAGCGGGCTAGGTCGTGGGTTTGAACACACACACCCGGCTGCTGTCGGTGGAGTGAACGTGTCTCTTACTGCACCCACTTTTCTGCTTCTGACCTCTGCAGTGGTCGGGAAAGGGTCGTTATCCTGCACAGATGTGATGTCCCAGGGAGCACTGAAGATTCGGGTCAAGGCATAAAGCCTGGGGCTTCCAATGGTGAGTTTCTGGTTTGCTGTGAACCCAGGCTTGTTCTTGTGATAGAAAAGAGGCTGAGTGAAAACGGGATGGAGCAGCTTATGTGGTGGGTGCTCGGTGTTAAATGTCACTTTTGAGAAGTGTCCTGGTAGTAGGGAAAACATTGCGCAATCTGCTTTGATAGAATTTCAGTTGGATTCCTTCTAGTTCAGTTTATCCTCAGCTCATCTTCCTTTCTGACTCCTCCCCCAGCAGAGCCTCCTAGGGCAGGACATCCATTCCTGAAGTCTGTTTTGGTTTCTTAAAACTTCCTTGAGATAAGTGACATGGTTTTCTTTTTTAAGCTTTCCAGTACTCAGGAATGCCAAAAGCAGGGGACAACCCTGAACAGCCAGCCTCCAGCAGAATAGAAAGTAAACGTCACCCTCACCCATTTCACATCAGGGAACTTGCCAGTGAGAGCAAATCATAGGAGAGTGCTCTTACTTAAATTTGCAGGATTTGATTCTCATTGGACCTTGGCCCATGCTTAAAAGTTGAATGTTGAATTTCAGGGCACAAATTTAGATTTCAGAATTTAACAGGAAAAAGCAGTCCCTTGGGTCTCAAGAATTTCATTTGGTTGCTCTCTCAAGGGTTAAACCTGTGAGAGAGAAGTCCAGGTTAGGTTTGTGGAAGAGCGCGCGCACGCGTGTGTGTGTGTGACTATTCACTGTGCAAAGCCGCCCTCTGCTCTCCTTGCGACAGCCCCAAGTCAGTGAAAGAGGCTGTAGAAACCTGCCCTTCTCTAGACTTCCTGCATAGGGCCTGCAAAGTGCCCTGGGGATGGCTTCCAGGGACTGAAGGACAATCTTATTTCAGGTAGTATGGCACAGAGGAAAGTCACTGTGTGACTCTGGAGAGGAGCAGGAGAAAGGGTCCATTTGCTGACCTGCTGACTAGCTGTTTCCCTCTGGCCAGCTCTCTAATGCCTCGGGGGCTTGTGTTCCCAAGGGGTTCTGGAATACATTAGGCACAGACACCACCATTCTAGGGGTCTAAGGTACAGACTAGGCAAACAAAGACAGGGTTCCCTTTGCTATTGGGGACCCTAGGGGAGAGGTGGCTTCTCTAGTGACTTTTCCTCATCCCTGTGCCCTGGCTTCTACTGAAAGGCTTCTCTGTGTCTGGCCAATTGCAAACTGTATCTTAACACCACGGGGACAGTGTAAAGAGAGGTCCTGGGCTCCCCAGCCCATGGAGGGTGGGGAATCCTTCCTGATAACAGTCTACAAGGTTCTCTGCTGATGCCAGAGGAGACACGCTTGGTTACATGGCTCTAAACCAAAATACCAGGAAAATCAGATTTGTTCTGAAACATTGCAGGGTAATAATGGTGAGCATATGTTTCTGTACTGTCATTAGCCGAATTAGCAGACATGGAGCTGCCCAGAAAACACATGTGTGAGTGTGTGTGTGTGTGTGTGTAATCCGCTTTGACCAGGAGGCCTGCTTTGGGGCTTGGAGACAGAGGATAGTGGTGGGTGGAATCTGGGAGGGTTGCATGGCACGCGTGGGGTCCCAGACAGCATGCAGAAAGGATGATTCTAAACATCTTTCACTCTGGGAGCTCTGGCACCCACAGCTGCTGAGTGGTAAGCCCTCTCTGGTTTTGTTGGTGTTTCCCACAGATACTCTGGGCAGTGATGGAAGCCTAGATGCCTCACCGCAAGGAGCGGCCGAGCGGGTCCTCGCTTCACACACACGGCAGCGTCGGCACCGCGGTGAGCCTGCAGGGTGGGCTGCTGGGTCAGTGCGGGTGGCTTCCTGTCTGCCCTCTTCCCCGGTGCCTGCTCACTGGCTGCCCTTGCTTGGGGCCACAGCACTCAAGAGATGACTGTTGACTGGCTGTACGATCATGTATTTTTTTCAAACAAAAATGCTCTTAATTTGATGTGAAATTTACTACATGTATAAAGCTCAACGCCTTAGGTGCTGAGGAAGTCACTAATTTAGAGGTGTCTCGTTACTGAGACAAACTTGCAAAAACCCCTGAATCCCAATTCACAAATTGGTGATTCGTTTGTCAGGGGATATTTCACATCTAACACATAAGCCTGCGACCTTTAATTAGAATTTTGCAGTTTGTTTTATGCCCCTGGAGGCTGACACCTTGAAAATTTTTTTTCTTGATTTCTTATTGCTAATAAGCATCTTTCTTTTTCCCTCTGGTACTCTGAAGAAAATGATGCAAATACACTTAATTACAGTGGTGGCCATAATTTGTCATCTGAATATGTGATCAGGCACAGGCAGAAGTGATCTGATTAGATCTGTGATCACACTCACAATAAAGGGAGTGCACGGCTGTGTTGTGGAGAAACTCTTGTTTTCCACCTTGTTTCCATTTCCAGGAGGGAGGAAACATGTCCCGGCTGTCTCTCACCCGGTCGCCTGTGTCTCCCCTGGCTGCCCAGGGTATCCCACTGCCAGCTCAGCTCACAAAGTCCAACGCGCCTGTGCACATCGATGTAGGTGGCCACATGTACACCAGCAGCCTGGCCACGCTCACCAAGTACCCCGACTCCAGGTAAGAGCCTAGCCCATCAAAGCACTAGGCATGTGGTGGTGAGAGGCAGCACCTGCAGCCTTCTGCCAGGATCCTGCCTCCCCTGCCAGCCCTCATGTGGGGCTCTCCAGAGCGCACCGGCTGGTGCAGACCAGGGGAATAAGGGCTTGGGAGGCTAAGTCCACCTGTTGAAGGCTGCTCTGCGCAGGGTCATATGACCCTGAGCTGGCAGAATTGGTAGTGCGAGGTGGAGCTCCTGCTTCCTAGCAGAAGCTTATGACTTGCTCAGAGCTATCCACACCTGAGCCTGGCCACCAGCTATCTGGGAGTCTCACGTGCCTTCAGGTTCCTCTTGAGTGAGACTCAGGCCTGGCCTCTGCAGGGGATCATTCGTGAGCTATGATAAGTACATATGTCTCGGGGTTATGGGAGCAGGAGTATTTAGTCCTATCTCCTGTTCTAACCTTTGAGAAAGTTCATAAGGGGAGGGAGAAGGAGCTGTAATTGGCCATGTTTGCCTGTTTGGGTGGCCACCACTGGACCCTGAGGACTAGCAACAGGCTTCTCTTGGAGCTGGATGTTGCAGTGACTAGCTAGGAACTCCAGGACATTCAGGGATACCCAAGGCTATAGATGAGCATGAGCTGCATAACCCATCGGTGGGGAAAATGCTGGTTGGGGGCTTGCAGGGTCCTCCCATGCCACTGATTTCAGAGTGCACCCTGACTCTTGGGCCTCTGGACCTGTGCGAGGTGCTAGATGCTGCCAGCTCTCCTGCCCTTGCCTCTTGGGTGTTTCCCTCCCAGGGGCGGACCTGGTTTCCCTGTTGGCACAGCAGCAGGGCTGACCTGAGATGGGCCGGGTCTCTGTGAGCCTCTCCTGGAGGTGACGCGGCATGCTGCTTGATCCTGATGCTGCGAGGCGGCCACCACTCTCTCTGGGTCCACTGAGGGCGAGCAGTGAGAGGGCCAAGACTACAGGGCATCAGCTCTGTTTTATACATTTAAAATAGCAAGAGGAATTAATTCTCCAGACACCAAGGGATCGTCTCAGGGGAGCTGGCGTGTCAGGCCACCTCAGTGCCGCTGTGCTTGCTCAGAGCCGGGAGGATTATATACATGGAGGTGGCTGCTTTTGGAGCTTGTTGAGAGCTGGAGCCACCCACAGAGGCAGGAATGCTCCCTGGAGGAGGGAACACTGGAGGTGGATGTAGCATCCAATTCAGAATTTGGGGAGTCTGGGGTACAGGTGGCGGTTGAGGCTTTATTCCCTCAGTCTGGCAGACTAGGCCTGGGGCCTTTGTGAACTTGGGCTTTGGGGAGGCAGGAGCCATGAGGCCACGTCAGCAGCATTGACCCATGTGCTTGTTTGCAGAGCCCTGTCTGAGGTGGGAGATGGATTCTGCTTATTTAATTTCAATTTTGCCTTCTGTGGCATTCCTGAGTTGCTTGAGAGATAGATCATCTGTTAATTGGTTGATGACGTTTGTGAGGGAAATTCATAAAACCTCTGCCCACAACCCTCTCTGAAGAGTGTTTCCTGAAATCTGGAGTAATCACAGCCCAGACTGGAGGGGGAAGGGAGGTGGCCTCCCATTCTTGTCTTCGGGCTGCTGCCTGGGCACAGGAGGGCAGGGGGCCATCTTGCCCTTGCAGGCCCCAGGCATGGCTCATCCTCACCCCTCACCCTGCTTTGCGGTGGCCCTGTGATCTGGCATGTGGGACCCTCAACCGGCAGGATGTGCACAGAGGGGGTAGCAGCCTGCATTCTTTCCCAGGGCTGGGGCTCAAGGTGAATCTGTTGCTGTGCCTGGATGGCTTCTGGCAGTGGGAGAGCTGTTAGAGACCAGGGGGTGTGTGACCTGCAGGACAGTCAGGGGACATGGTGTCAGATGGGGCCTGAGAAGTAGGTTGGGCAGCTGTGCTGGCAAAGGCCCCTCAGATCTCTCTAATCCTTTTGTGGGTTATTACAATGTAAAAACTGTTTTTGCCCATTCTGGAAAAGATTGATCCCTTGCCTAGTGTCACTGATGTATGAGTCACCTACAGATGGAGAATGAAAAATGCTAAGGTCCCCCAAGGGGTTTCTGGGTGTCAGCAATGTCCCACCCTGGCCTATGCTGTGAGAGCCATACCCTCGGGCCCCTGTGCCCATAGAACTGTGCCTGGGCTTCTGGTTCTTGGTAGGCTGGGTACTGGAGAGCCTGGTGCCGGTGCCTCCTCTGGTCTGCCCAGGAGCAGCCGTTGGTTCTCATCCAGAACCAGCCGAGCACGGTGGCCTGGGGCTGGGAGTGGGCTCCCTGGGTCTGCACTCGCTGTGTCCTGCCTGCTGGACGTTGTGTAGCTGCTGCTATCACAGCCCCACTCTGGCATGTCATCCTGGCCGTTGGAAGCAACAAATGAAGGTGGCCAAGAGCTTTGGAACTAATAAAACCTTGTGTCAAAACAGCCAGGAAAGTGGAACCTGGGCTTAAAAAAAGGAGACGAAGACCGGCATGATCCTCCGTTCGTACGCAAAGGCAGGGTGGTGGGACTGTGTCTTCTCTGCCCCTGAGGGTCCCAGCTGCCAGAGTGTGGACTGGCCAGCTTATTCCGTGGAGGGCTTTTGAAGTTGGCTCCCCTAACCCTGCAGCCTCCCTCAGGGTGGCTCAGGGCTGGTTTCTGCAGGTGTCCTGTGGAGCCACTGAGAGAACCCTGGAGGAACCCACGAGGTCATGGCAGCAGCTGCCTCTTAACACCCTGCAAGTGGCTGGGGGTTCCTTCATGGCGATTGTCCTAACTTTCTCCCGATCTGCTCACATCCTTGGTAGCCTTGGACCCTAAGGGCATGAAAGGCCTTTGTCCTGGGAGAAGCTATACTGCTGACATTTGATCCTGGAACAGACACTGAACCATGGAAATATCTAGGACCACCCAGTCCCGAAATAAGGCAGATTGAGAACTTTGAGACAATAAGACAGCCTCAAACCCATCCAGCCCTGGAACATGGGTAGATCGGGGTACTCTAGACCAACAGGATGATCCAGAGCCTCAGCCAGCTCTGATGTCAGAGAGATTTGGAACTCAGCCAGGCTTAGCATGTTGCTTGCTGCACAGTGTTTGAGCTCAGCTGGGAGGGGTGGGGAACATTCCCTGGGAGCTGAGGCTTTGGATTTGCTGACTCACCTGTGGATGTGGCTTTTGCTTCTTCCTGCTGGTGCCCTATGGCACCTGGCAGCCTTGCTCACTCCCATCTGTCTCCAGAGATGCTGGTGGCCCTCACTCTGACATCTGAATGCCCAGGCTCTGCTAAGCCAGGTCTTGGAGGCCTTGAAAGCTGGAACAAGCCATGGAACCCACAACTCTTTCCAACAGGGGCTGTGTCCACCAGTGCCATTGTCACCGGTCCTGAGGGATTAATAGGGCTCAGTGGCCTTTGAGGCCAGGCCACCAGAGCATAGGATGGTGTAGATGGGAGGCCCTAAAAGGGACTCTGCAGGCTCTAACCCCCTCAGCTTCTGCCCAGCTTATGTGCTCTGGCTGCGCAATGGCAGTTGTGTGTCAGGGCCTTGGGAGTGGCCAATTTGAAGGGTACAGAGAGGTGTGCTGCTGACGGGACAGGGGAGCACCCATTGAGGGGGACTTGCTGGCGCAGGCAGAAAGTGAGGGGGCTTAGGCACTGGCTTGTGTGCAGGCTGATGTGGAAGACCTGGAGCCCAGGTCAGGGCTACCCTTCTCCCAGGCTGTGCAAGCTGCCACCTTGGTAGGGTCTAGCTGGGCATGAGTGTGTGGCCCTGCCTGCTGAAGGATGTCTGGTGGTGCTGTCATTGGGGAGATGCTGCTGACCTCCCACCGGTTCCCAAACCAAGCTCTTGGCTGCCCCCATCCCTCTTTGGAGCTCCTAACTATCCTCAGCTCTGCCTGGGGTCTGCAAGGGCAGTTAGTCAAACCAGAACCTGCTGCCCTGAGCATTGGGGAGGCACCAGCCCTGGCTCTGAGGCCTGGTTCCTTCTTCCTGGAGTGGATAGGGACAGTCATCAGGGGCTCCCAAAGAGCTTCTTACAGGTCATGCATTTATTAGAACCACTGCCCTTCAGAGGATAGGGTGCTGGCACCTGACTTCCCTCCTAATGGCTCCCCACCTGCCAGGTGTTCATGTACTCTGACATGTGCATATGTGTGCACAGTCTCATGGTTTCTGTGTGTGTATACACTGTGGCATGTGCACGTTCATGTGCTGTGGCACAGACACATGTTCACGTGCTGTGGTGTGTGTGCAAGTGTACTGTTGCAAGTGTGTGCTGTGGCACACATACACACATGCCGTCCCTCCTGTCTGCCTCTGTTTCTCCCCTATGGCTCCCTGAGTGAGTGGCTGAGGGGTGTTTGTGACTTCATGTCTATAGGTAGCTTGTGTGAGCTGGTGTGTATCCTTTGCCCAGATGTGGGTCTGCCTGAGATTTGTGTGTTGGGAGGGAGGGGAACCATGTGACCCTGCGCCTGTTGCTTAGGTGTGTCACATCGAATGCTCATTGACATTGGTTAGGTGGGAAGGATGGTGTCACCAAAGACTGTCTTGGCTGGTATACATATGTTCACCAGGTATGTGGGTGTTGGCTGGCATATTGATGTGCATTTTCTGGGTGGGTCTGTCTGGTGAGGGTGTGTGAACCAGGTCCATGACCGGCTGGTTTGTGTGCGTGGGGCATGGTGGCTGTGTCTGCGTCCTGCTGTAGTTTACCAGGCCTGTAACAAGTGTCAGCGGGCTGGTGTGTACAGATGGGTGTGTCCCTCTCCTGCTGTGATTTGTGAGGGTAGGTGGGGTGTGTGGTATGTCCTGGCTGTGACTTGGCTGTCTTAGGTGTGTGCTGACATCTGTCAAGCCTGGTACAGTCCCAGAGTCACCCATGGGCGGGCTGGTGTGTACAGATGGGTGTGTCCCTCTCCTGCTGTGATTTGTGAGGGTAGGTGGGGTGTGTGGTATGTCCTGGCTGTGACTAGGCTGTCTTAGGTGTGTGCTGACATCTGTCAAGCCTGGTACAGTCCCAGAGTCACCCATGGGAGGCCCTGAGGAGTGGGGGTGGGCAGGTGCACTCGGCTCCTTCCTTCACATTCCCACTTTGCCTGTCTCTCACAGAATAAGTCGCCTCTTTAATGGCACTGAACCCATCGTCCTGGACAGTTTGAAGCAACATTATTTCATCGACCGGGATGGGGAGATTTTCCGCTATGTCCTAAGCTTCTTGCGGACATCCAAACTGCTGCTCCCGGATGACTTCAAGGTAAGTCCATGGCCGGCAACTCCCCTGCGCTGCCTATGCGAGGGCATTACACAGGGGACGCTGTGACTTAATAAATGGGCCCGTGGTCGTCATGGCAACCATAAAAAGTTAAACGATGAAGCCGAGGGCTAAATCAGTTTTTCTAAACTAATTTTGTTTTCTCACATTTTTAGCTTATTTATCAGGGTGTAACAACAGTTAAGCTGCAGCACTTACCCAGTTTAATGTCTGTTGTGTTTAAGGGCTGTTGTGTGCTGCAGTTATAGGAGTTAGAGGTTCATAAATCTGTTCCTTGTTGGCAATTTACAGGGGGAAAACCCCTGATGATCCAAACAGACACCATTTAAACAGAAGGTTACTTCCCAGGTCTGAGGGCAGCTGACTGGTTCCGTGTCCTGCCTGGTTGCTGAGACTTTTGTGGCAGCAGGGATCCTGGGACGAGGGAAACACAGGCCTGGACTGCCTTGGCTCCTACTAACAAATGTCTGTCCTTCCTTTCTTTCTTCCTGCACTACTCAGAGGCCCAGTAACCCTGGGGCTCTTTTGTCCTTCGTCCTACTTAGTTATTGAGTACCAACAACTGAACTTGAGCTGAAAATTCAGTAAAACAGAAGGCAGACATAGGCCTTGCCCCATCACACAGTCTAGCAGGAAGACAGGTGTTGAACTTGAACTCTGTGGAGGCAAAGGTTCAGAGAAATAGAGTATCATGAGAGTGAACAACAGGGAACCTGGCCCAGATGAACAGCATTTATCTGGCTGTTGAAGGAGGAATGGGGGCAGATAAGTGTGAGGGCCTTGGTGAGGGCATGAGGGTGGCAAAGGCTTCATACATTCCAGAACTGGAGAGAAGGTGTTGAGCCTGGGGCCTTATGACCTAGGAGGGGAAGAACAGGAGGGGTGGCTGGTGTTAGGACCTTGCTAGTGGCTCAGCATTTGGCATTTCCCCCTTAATGCTGTGGAAGAGTTGTGAGCAGGGGAAGAATGATCAGATTTGCAAATTGGAAAGATCACACTGGCTGTTGTGTGGAAAGGGATGCAGGCAGGGTGGGAGTGGGTGCAGGAGGCCAGTTATGGATGAGCCCACTTCCCCAGGCCAAGGGAGATTTGCTGGAGACTTTGGATCAGAGTCGAGAAAGAGAAGATGGGGTAAAGCAGCTTGATTAGGAAGAGCTGCAAAAGCACATGGGTGTAGGTTGTTGGGGGTAGGAGGACTCTCAAGGACTCCCTTGGCTTGTGGCTTGAGTCCTGAGTCAATTGATGAGTGGAGGCCCAGGGATGGAACAGGCTGGGAGAGTGTCATAACTGGCTCCTGCATAGAAGAGCTGGTGGGGCATTAGGTGGAGACATTCTAGGCCATGAGTAAAGGTGGGGTCATTTGGCATGCAGGTGCCACTTAAAACCTTGGGAAGGGGCAAGAGTTGGGACAGCAGAGGCCCAGGGTAGAGCCCTTGCAGAGGAGCAGGATGGGTCCCTGACCGATGTCAGGTCTAGAGTGGGGGTTAGAACTTGCGTCCCTAGGGGCAGTTCCAAAGGCCAGGGCCAGCAGGTGGAAGGGACTTAGGGCCTGTAGGGTGGGCGCTGCTTTGGGGGTTGGGCTTCCTTGCCTTTCCCCCAGGGGCCCTCAAGCTCACCAACTGGAATTGCATTGAGCCTCAAGGGATGGCATGAGTCATGGACCCTCGGCCTCTAGGGGCTGGGATGGGTATGGGTGGGCACGTGTGTGACCAGGGCACAGACAGATATCAGCGCATGAGGGACAGCTTGTGTGACCCCCTCAGCCTGGGGGTGGGCTGCCTGGCGAGGGGTACGTTTCTTCTCCCCAGACACCTCATCACACTGCCTGCTTGGGTAGAGGCAGAGCCAGGCATGTGGCAGATTGTGTGTACTTTAACCCTCACTCCCCTTCTCTGAGCTGCGTATATACATCCATTTTATAAATGAAGAAGCAGAGTCAGAGAAGATCAGTGACTGAGGTTCAGAGGTCTGAGGGCTGGTAGATGATGAGGCTGAAAATCCAACCCAGGCAGGTCTAGTTGCAGATGAACTATTTTGCCTCCCGTCTGAGCTGTGAGCTCCTCCAGGGTGGGTGACAGCGGGGCTGCCCTGTGCCCAGCAGAATCTCTTCTCTTGGTGGGATTCTAAGAAGGCAGCAGATCCCCAGGCATAGGTACAGCCTTTGGCACCCCTAATATAGCTTCCGGGTCTTTCCAGGAGGATTCTCTCTGCCCCAGGGTCATAAAACTACTCTGGTGCTTGAGGCCAAATGGAAAGGCTGGGGATCTGGCACAGTGCATGCCAGCGGCTGCCCTTGGGTCAAGGCTAGATTTTTTATGCTTGCACACACACCTCATCTACCCCATCTGTAGAATGGGGACAGCCATCCCAGTCCGCATTGTGCCCTGGGGGTCGCAGTTCCCGGCAGAATTGGGAGAAGAGGCCACCAGTGTTGGAAGGGGCAGACCCCTGCCTCGCCCGACCCGGTGTGCGCCTGTCCACAGGACTTCAGCCTGCTGTATGAGGAGGCGCGGTACTACCAGCTGCAGCCCATGGTGCGTGAGCTGGAGCGCTGGCAGCAGGAGCAGGAGCAGCGGCGCCGCAGCCGAGCGTGCGACTGCCTGGTAGTGCGCGTCACGCCCGACCTGGGCGAGCGGATCGCGCTCAGTGGCGAGAAGGCCCTCATCGAGGAGGTCTTCCCCGAGACCGGGGACGTCATGTGCAACTCCGTCAACGCCGGCTGGAACCAGGACCCCACGCACGTCATCCGCTTCCCGCTCAACGGCTACTGCCGGCTCAACTCGGTGCAGGTGAGGGCTGCGTGCCTCCCCCAGCCTCCCCAGAGCCTTCCGGCCACGGAGCGAGATGGAGGGAGGCACCGGTCCCTGCAACGGCGAAGCCCTCCCGTGCCATCCTACAGAAAAGGCAACAATGTGTCGATGCATAATTTATGTCTTGCTCATAATTAAATGATGGCGCCTGGGGATGGACTTAAAAAAATTGATCCGTACTTTTTTTTTTTTTCCAAAAGGATGTTCTATAAAAATGGCCCAGAGTATTTTCAACAAAGTGCACTTTATTTGACACCCAGAGTCTGACTGTGGATTCAGATTAAACGCAGGCAGCAGAAGAGGCAGGACAGAGGCGAAGGAGAGGTGGCCTGGAGTTACTTTTTCATCCTGTTGACCTGGGGGCTTGGGCACCCAACAGCTGTTCACAGTGTTTCTGGATGGGTGTTAAGAATTGGGAAGCCCAAAATGAAGTGAGGGCCTATTTTCCAACAACTCTTCCCAGACCCAAGAGTAGACTCATATTTCGGAGTTAGGGCAGAATGGACTTTGGGAGAATTTTCCCACATGCACGCATTCCGCAGGCTGTCGGTCAGAATGTGCTAGCTGCAGGACACAGGTGTCAGACACAGTGACCAGACCCCACTCTGAGGCACACACCCATGTGGACATGGAAGCCTACAGAGACTCAAACACCGAGACAACCCCTTCTTTTTCTCTCCACCCCAAGTTCCCTTGAACTGATGAGCCCCCAGGCCTCAAACCATCTGGGACTCACAGCTCAGGGAGGCAGGTGGCTGCCTAGGGGCTCTCCATTATTGGCGCAGGGCTCAGGAAAGGGACACCTGGGATCATGTGTCTGGAGAGAGGGGCAGGTTACACCCTAGGTAAGGGGCCCAAAGGCTCTTTTGGCCCCCACCCCTACCCCAAGTCAAGTCTGTGGACCCCTGAAGGCAGCAGGGTGGTAGCCTGGGTGGAGTAGCCCACCTGGGTTTGGTAACTCAGGGGGCCCCTGGGCCTGGCTGCTCCTGTTCCTCCTGTTGTGGAACCCAACTGGTGGTTCTGGAGTGCCTTTTGTTGGTGAGCGAGAGTGAGATCTTAACAGAAGGTAGCTTACTCTGACTGGCACCCACCTGCCCACCAGGCCAAGCCAGGCAAACTCTTGCAGCTGGGCATTACTGACCTCTCTTTCTTCACCGCAGGTCCTGGAGAGGCTGTTCCAGAGGGGTTTCAGTGTGGCTGCATCCTGCGGGGGGGGCGTGGACTCCTCCCAGTTCAGCGAGTACGTGCTTTGCCGGGAGGAGCGGCGGCCGCAGCCCACCCCCACTGCCGTCCGGATAAAGCAGGAGCCCCTGGACTAGGCCCTGCCTCAGTGCCCACCTGAGGCCCCTTAGCCCTGGGGACACCCCAGGGACCTGGAAACAGTGCTGGGGAGTTCTGCCTGTGCGTGCTTAGCAGCGGCCGTGAGACTGAGCATGGGCTGGAGGGTCCGAAGCCAGCCCAGGGAGCACCAGAGCTCTAGGTGTCATGGCAACAGAATGTGGGATGCTGGAGGCATGCCCACTGAAGGACTGTTGATGTGACCTGAAGATGCTGTGGTGGGAACTCCGCTGCCAGCTCTCTTAGCCCCGCTGCTCCCCAGCTTGGTGCAGCATTCTCTGGGGCACTGGGGCCTGCCGAAGCAGGATGAGCAGAGGCGTCCCCAGCTACGCCCGTGGAACTGTTTATCCTTCTCCACGCGTGGCAGACTTATGGTGGGTCTCCTTGCATCAGAGATGGCTTATTTTTCTACAGTATTTAAAACAGAACTAACTGTAACTGCGCAAGTCAGAGAGGCTAACGAGGACCAATGCTTCTTTATTTGGTGCTCAGTTCTCAGTCGGATGTGCAGCATGCCCGCATGGTGGGTGAGCTGCCAGGCACTCCAGCCCAGGACAGATGCGGGGATGATGGTGCTGCAGGAGCCAAAGCACGGTGCCCAGGGGGCAGGGCTGCTGGGAGGAGGGCGGTGTAGGTGGGGGGCTGGATGGCTCTGTAACCATCTGAGACTCACCTTTGCTGTTGCCAGGGCTCAAGCTGTGCTTAGTGGGTCAGGTGACCTGCTAATGCACAGGGGCCTCCGGTCCTGTCTGCATGTACTCACACCTGGGCTCCTGGGGAAGTCTCTCCCCACCCGGACCAGCCACGCGGCTGCACCTTACCTCAGGAATGGGCCCCATGTGGAGGGCCCATCTGTCAGCATGTCCTCTGGGTCCTCAGCTCAGGGAGCCATCCCCAGCTCCACTTTTCCCACACTAATATGCACACTGACTTTTAATTAAACTTCTTACACTAGTCTGCCAATAAGACCCAGACACATGCATACCTGGCACTCTTGACCCGAAATTTGAACAAGGTTGACCCTGAGAGATCATCACAGACTTGCTGCCCCCCAGACGACAGGCCCAAAGATGGACACCCCCCCGCCTTGTCATACTTTGCCATGTGCTGGCTTTTCTGGGGTGGAGAAACTGCAGAGAAGTGGGTGGGCGCCCCCGCTGGCACTACCCTGTGTACAATGCCTGTAGACTTGTATATGACTCCTTTAATATTGTAAAGATGCTGATGTACAATTGTCGTGTGTTTGTGTAAACACATTACATTCCTAGTTCATGCCATAAATGATTCTCTAAAGCAAAAGACTGAGGCTCCATCCTGTGCAGAAGCAGCAGCTGGATTCCTGCATTTGATGTTGTGCAGGGAGGTTTGGGGTGGAATCCCTCCCTTGGATCCTTCAGATTGGGGGATAACTGGCAGCAGCAGCTGGGGGAGGGGCAGGGGCAGGGTCCTGAGCTTGGTGTTATTTATTGCATTTGGGTGTGTTCTCACTGCTTCTGCCTGTCCCTTCTGGGCAGCAGATTCTGAATTCTGATTCACAGCCCTTAACCAGATGCGACCCTGGGAAAGGCAGGCAGAAGGTGTCCGAGGGCTCTTGAACTCAATCTTAAATGTTTGGGATTCTCTCTCTCACTGACTTTTGGTTGGGGTTGACATCCTCTTTAGAGCCCCACATGAGAAGGCAGCAGGCTGTGACTCAGGCCAGCCAGGGGGACAGAGCCATGCAACCAGCATGGGAATTGCGGATCACCTAAGCGTAGAATGAGATCTCAGTATATCCCTCTCCAAGGGAAAGAGTTTGAACATATTCACATAGGAGTCCAATTTAATGAGTCTTTTTGTATTTTTCCTCAAAGCCCTGATGTTCTGACCCATGAGGACCCTTTTACATCCCCACTAGGGGCCACCCACCTTGATCCTTCTTGGAGGAGGGGAGCACAGAGCAGCCACTTCTGTCTGAGGCCACACAGCAGACGCCATCCCACTGTACAATCTAATTTGCTGGACAAACTTGCTAGGCTTCTCTGCTTAGCAACGTGCCTGCAGTTGGCACATCTGCATTTTGGCATCTGAGGCTCCCATCTGAGAGGAGAAAGTGTTATGTTTATTAGAAAGGAAGTCTTGTGAAAACAGCTCAATGCTGCATGTGTTTATGGATTTTTCTGGTATAATAGCTAGCATGGTTACTGATTGGAGGAGATTCTCTAACATTCTCAAGCAAACTCTTTTTCATTAAAACATTGTGCTAAAAAAAGGGAGGAAAAGTAACTCTACCTTACTGAATATTACTCCTTATTTACTAATTAAAATCTGGAAACATGATTTTACATCAACTGGAGAATTTCTGAATTTGCAGGGAAATATTATTAAATAGTAATGCTATAATTCTAGTATACCTAGTCTCCATAAACAATAAGAACAAATTATCAATTCCTTTAAGGCATTTTTACATGTCCCAGAAGGAATCTATTTTAAGTAATCTTATCAGATACTGGCAGTATAAACGTTATTTCTGCTTTGTCAACCTCAAAATGAATTATTCTTTTTTTTTTATTTTTTATCTTTTTCCGTGTCCGGCAACAGATCGCAACCCTCAGTGTCGCCCCCGCACCGGACCGGGACCGGCAATGGGACCGCAACCCTTGGTGTTGCCCCCGCGCCTCGCTCAGCCAGTGAGCGGGAACCGGTCTGTATGTGGGATCCGAACCCTCGGGTTTCTGTATGTGGGATCCGAACCCTCGGGCGGGAGCGCCGCCGCGCTTCCCAAGCGGCGCACTATCCAGTGCGCCACCGGGCCGGCCCCGGATTGTTCTTGATAATAAGCAACCAACGCTTCCCTGTTGCCCACCACCTCTGCCAGTGCAGAGGAGAACTCGGCAAAGCCACAACAGGCAGCTCCTGCCACTGTCCAGCTCATATGGGGCTCAAAGCCAGGTCACAACACTATCTTTTTTAAAGTGTGTTGGTTTTTTTTTTTTTTTTTTTTTAATCTACTAGTTGACTGTGTTCCTTAGAATAAATAAAGGATATTTTATAAATTACACACAGCTCTAGCGCTTTGTTTCTAACTCACTGAGGCAACTGCAAAAAGATTCTCTGGCTGGGGTTGTGCTGAGGCCACCACTTCTCACACTTGGGACTTGGCCTGGCCACTGAATAGGACCTTGAGTATCCCAAGTCCCAGATCCCATAGCTTCCTGCTCTGAGAAACCTAAGCAGCAGCGCAGTCCCCAAGCACCTAGCGTGCATCCACTGGCAAACCCAGAGGGCAGTGCAGGCATGGGCTTCCTTCACTTCTCCCAGACCTCACCACTGCAGAGCTCAGGGTGTGGTGAGCCTTTTGCATGTGTGTACGTGTGAACCAAACCACTAACACATTTGGAAAAGGAGCAGAGAAAGCATAGATATGAGAAATGGGAACACAGTCCCCACTGAGCCCCTGACCAAGAGAAAACTCTAAGTTGGCTGAGGCTAGCAGAGTCTAATGATCACAGGGGTGGGGGCCACCCTCTTTCCCTGCTGGCAGGCAGCCCATGTTCTCTGGAGACAGGAAAGCAGCTGCATTGGCCCTGGAGGTTACCCGAGGAGATACAAGTTTGGAGTTTCTCCTAAGTCAGTGACAAGGTGGAAAATACAAAAATGGGAGCTGACAGGGCATTTTCAGATGGAGGCAGGACACTTGGTTCAAAACAATAGGGAGATTTGGACAGAGCTAGAGGGACAGCTGATGGCCAGAGAGGGCAGCTACTCGCCTTGAGCCTGACATCTGGTCTGACTAAGGGGTGTCTTAGGACGTGTGATATCCCAGTTTGATGGTTGTCACTTCTGTTGATTTTAAGGTGAGTGCACAAATGTATTTAGTCACAAAGCTCAAGGGAGCCACCTAATATTGGTCTTGCCTCATGTGATGAGGATGTGGTTGGCCCTCTTTCTGCTCACCCCAGCCCCACTCAAAGGAGGTGGCTCGTTACAGAGAGAGGGCGTGCCCCCACCTAGAGATTGAGGCTCCAGCAGCTGGTGGGGGCTTTGATTTGGAGTTACCTACACCAAAGAGTCTGGGTCACTGCACAGGGTAAAAGCCCGCACTGTTAATTGCCACAGTTTTTAAGTTATCTACAAACAGAGGTCTTTAAAATAATTGTAAGAATAGAGGGACGATTTGAGTGCGTATTTATCAAAAGCAGCTCCTGCCTTTATTAGTGAGAGATTTCTCATTAGACCAAACAAGATTTGTTGTCAGTATCCATGGAAACCTGCAAAGGAGTTACAAAGATAAAGCTCTAATGTCCAACATAAAACCCAAGACAATTTCCCTGCTTTATTTCATAACCCCACCCATTCTGAGGAAGATGGTCAAGGGCAGCTGCTTGGAGGAAAGTCTATTCTGTAACAACTGTTTTTAGATAGAAGTACTAAATTCACCAACTGAGGCAGAGAGGAAGGGAAACACTCCCTCCAAAATCCCTTTCCATTAAGGCTCATCCCTGACAACACATTCTAGGCTTAGAGAACCTAAGAGGTAGCCCTCCATGGACCAAGAGAAAGGAAAAGGTGTTAGTGGCAGCTAAAGGCAGCATCCTGCCAGGAGCAAGGTTAGCACTGATGTTCTCTAAGAAGCATGAGACTTCTCTAAGGTGACCCAAATGGAACACAACCACAGTGAGTGTTGAGGGCCAGAAAAGGAGGGCTGACCAGGGATTTGACCCCACTCTCCCTGGACCTCACACCCAGTGCTTCTAATCCTCCCCGTCACTTACTCTCTAAGTCCAGGGACATTTCTCTGTGAGCTTTCAGGGGAAAGGAGATTCCAGCCCCAGGGAAGCCCACCCATCCCCCATCCCAGGCTAATCCCTGGATCTGGTTTGGGACCCCTGGATGACAGTTCTTTTCCCACAAGCCCCACAGCTGGGCAAACAGGGCACCTACTGGACCCATGGTGAGCTCTCCAAACCTCAGAGCCACAGGTGGAGCAGGGACTTCACTCCTGGGGTCAGGGCCACTCCTGGAATGTGCATCCAGGCATGGCTGTTTGTTGACAGCTGTTCATCCACAGGGAAGAGACCTCCTGTGTTTCTATCCCACCACCCCACCCCAGTGGAAGGATGCGTTGGATAGAATTTATGCTATTTTAAGGTAAGTCATGCAAATATGACTTGGAAAAAGGGCTGATATGGCTGCTGAGGGTTTGGACGTTGGTTATCAAAAGTGTCCCTGCTTCACTGCAAAGATCCTTATCTTCCCAACCACCCAAAGAGTGCCATTTATTGATGGCCAGCACATGCCAACCTCTGCAGGTGTTTGAAGGACAAAACAGCCCATGAGGCTAAGAGGAGACATTTGTTTATCCACAAGAATTGTTTACGTTCAGTTGCTTACTTGAGGCTCTGTAAAGTTATCCAGAAGAGAA